GAAATTTGGGAATGCTGAACCCCGAGGGTGTCACTCCAAGCTTTTCCAGAATGTGGAATCCCAGAGGATCAGGGATGGTGTGCACAGCTCACACTGATGGTTGTGATGCCAGTCACGGATTATTGGGAATAAAACCCAAGGATTGCTGGAGATAAAAACCATGGATTGTTGGGAAAAAAAACCCCAACGATTGCTGGGAATAACAGCCAAGGATTATTGGGAATAACAGCCAGGGATTATTTGGAATAAAATTCGAGGATTGCCAGTAATAACAGCCAAGGATTATTGGAAATAACAGCCAGGGATTATTGGGAATAAAAACCAAGGATTATTTGGAATAAAATTCGAGGATTGCCAGGAATAACAGCCAAGGATTATTGGGAATAACAGCCAGGGGTTATTGGGAATATAAACCAAGGATTATTTGGAATAAAACTCGAGGATTGCCAGGAATAACAGCCAAGGATTATTGGGAATAAAAGCCATGGATTGCTGGGAATAAAACCCAATGATTGTTGGGAATAACAGCCAAGGATTGCTAAGAATAAAAACCAAGGATTTCTGGGAATAAAAACCAAGGATTCTGGGAATAACCAAGGATTGCTGGGAATGAAAACCAAGGATTGTTGAGAATAAAAACCCATGGATTTCTGGGAATAAAAACCAAGGATTGTTGGGAATCAAAACCATGGATTACTGGGAATAAAACCCATTGATTGCTGGGAATAATGGCCAAAGATTATTGGGAATAAAACCNCCATGGGAAAGAAGAAGCTGTGGCTGGAGAAGGGGCCGTGTGGAGGGAGGGCAGCATTTTTCCAGGAAAACACCCCGGCTGTAATTCCTGGAGATCAGAACAGCACAGTCCAGAGCAGAAATGAGGCTGGGAATGGGACATGGAATGTTGAGGGGGGATCAGGAYCACCCAAAACTCCCAAAACTCCACTTCCAGAAAGGTCTGAATGAACGGACAGGCAATGAGAATYAATTTGTATGGAAAGWGGGAATTCTGWRRTSAGAGTAGGGAAAACCTCTCCAAAAAAAGGGAACCCCAGGATTGGGGACTGGAGTGACACTGGAACCAGGAATGGTGATCCCATGACMWGGAAMAGRYCCCAGGGAATGGTCACATTCCCAAAGCTGCTCCAGGAGCATTTGGACAATGTTCMCAGGGACAGGGTGGGATTTTTGGGGTGTCTGGGCAGGGCCAGGGGTTGGATTTGATCCTTTCYAGCTCAGGATATTYTSTGAKGTGAMTGACCCACCTTCCCGTTTCTCCTCGGACACAATGCAGTGATTGAAGGAATCCATCCACAATCCCATAATTTTCTTTCAGGCAGGGGGTGCTGGGAGAGATCCAAGCAGCTGCAAGACAAAAATGTCCAGGAAACATCAGGGCTGCTCCCCGATTCTGGAAAAATCAAAATTATTTCATTCCTGCCTGCCTCCCCCAGGCACGGAATGGGAAAAACGGGAATTGTTCTGTGGTTMAAGTGATAAATGTGGAGTTGAGAGGAGGAAAGGTACAAAAAGGGAAAACTGAAGGAATTTTATGGTTTTGGGAGTGGCTGTAAGTGATGCCCAACAGGAGATGTTGGAGGTGCAGGATTGATTTGAGATGGAACAGAACATATACATAGAGGA